TCAGTAATTATTAATAAGGTATTATCTTATAATCTTATAGCGGGTATTCAAATTCAAAGAGAGAGGGGAGGATAGGGGAGGAGAGAGAGAGGGAGGGGGGAGGAAAGCGAGGGAGTGAGAGGGCAGGGAGGAGGGGGAGGAGGAGAGAGGGAGGGAGGAAAGAAAATGGGGAGGGAGGAGGGAGGGGGAGGGGAGGGAAGGGAGGGAGGGAGGGAGGGGGAGGAGGGGGGAGTAGGGAGGTGAGGGAGGAGGGAGGGAGGGAGGGAGGGAGTAGAGAAAGAGAAGAGAAAGAGAGAATCAGAGAGAGACGAGAGAGAGAGGAGAGGAAGGGAGGGAGAGAGAAGGACGAGACGAGACAGAGACAGAGACAGGAGACGAGACAAGACAGGACAGAGGACAGAAGAAGAGAGAGTGACAGAGAGAGCGAGCGAGAGAGAGGAGGGGGAGAGGAGAGAGAGGGGAGAGAGAGCAGACGAGAAGAGGGAAGAGAGAGGAGCGATGAGCGAGAGAGAGATGAGCTGAAGACGAGAGAGAGACGGAGAGAAGGGAGAGAGAGGAGGAGGAGAGAGAGAGAGGAGAGAGGGGGAGAGAAGAGAAAGACGAGGAGGGACGCGAGAGCACGCGGGAGATATGAAGGAGACGAGAGAGAGAGAGAAGAGGTACGGAGACTGAGAGGAGCGCGGCCGGGAGAGAAAATAGACTGAGAGAGAAGAGGAGACGAGAGAGAGACCAGAGAGACGAAGAAGCTGAGAGAAGACGACGTGTGTTGTGAGAGAGAGGAGAGAGAGAGAGAGAGAGAGAGAACATGTGAAGAAGGAAAGAGGAATTCGATATGATATCGACGAGAAAGCCAAGCTTGGATGAATTCTTCGAAGATGAGCTAAAAAGCAGTGACATCAGACCGACCACGATTATCAACGTAATATATAACCTCGTAAATACTAGTCTTCAAAGTCCAAGGGACTATATCGAAGACAGGAAGAGACAAAGTTGATCAAATAGACAGGCCCCGGGGTTCAAGGATAGAGATGATGTCCAGTACGGTGATTGGATAGGATGATGTTAGTTGATAAGATAGGACTGGACATCTTATCTATCCCTGAAAAAGGATAGAGATGATGTCCAGTACGGTGATTGGATAGGATGATGTTAGTTGATAAGATAGGACTGGACATCTTCTCTATCCCTGAGCCGGCCCCGGTTTCACGAACCTTAATTAACTTTAATTATAATTAAATCACTATAATCATGATTACGGACTTAATTACGCTTCGTGAAACCGAGCCCAGATCTATTAAAAATGTAAGTACATTATAAACGAATGGGGTTTTGTCCCACTCTATCCACAAGATTATTTTGTGTCCGTACTTTGGATCCACGATACACGACACAGTTCTGGGGGCGCAAGCACTAACTAATCTACAGATAAAACAAAACGGACTGTACACTGTGTAACCACATATTATAAGCGACTACACCCAACCTCAACCCCAGCTAGACCACACCACACCAAATCCAACACTCGATCGCTATAGCTGTGACGAATCGCTACATGTATGTACGTATTTCGGTTTCAGTTTTGTCGATTTCGCATTGCGAAACCCGCTTGCCAACAACCAGTGAGTGAGTGAGTCATCAATCATAACCAAATGCAAACCATATTATCATATTATCGCCGAGTAACACCAGTAGTAGTGGCAGTGGCTTATAACAGTAATGGGGAAGTGGATTTAAGTGACGGACGTTGACTGATAATGATATGTACTACTACTACTACTACTAGTACTACTAGTTCGGTTGGTCCATCGTACATCGCGACGCCCATACGGCAACGATGCAGCCTTGAGGGCTGATAAAGTTATCTCAAGTGAGCGCGCGTGCATGCATGATGTACACTTCCTAGACATAGACGTTACTTTCGCTCTCTCGTTTCAAACTAGCACGAAGCTAGTACTAACATACGGCGTGAATACGTACCTACGGCTGCGTCGATTGCGTGTCTTTTCGCGTATCCGTGAAAGATTACCGCACCTTTTCAGTACATCATGATTGATAAACACTCACTCGCACAGAGAGAAATATAACACACCTTCGCTTTCACACACGTCTAGCACCACAATACGTGGTCTGCGATCAGCAGTTCTCTCTCACACCAGGTGGCAGCAGAGCGACGTAAACAATTCCCGTGAGCAGACGCGTGCGCATGCGCCGGAGAGCGTGCGGTCGTGAGCGTGTCAGGCAGACGGATCGATGACTGAGTGACCGCGCTCTCTCTCTCTCTCTCTCTCTCTC